GGGGAGGCCCCGTCTTTTAGGAGGGCAGAGAAGAGAGCAGCTCAGCTGAAGTGAGAGCCAGGACATAGGCACCTCCTCTTTGCACTGTCGGCCTTGTCTGTGAGCCCGTGACAAATACTGAGAGAATGCTTCTGACTTCCCTGCCCCCCACCCCCGCCAGGCCCAGCTCTTAGCCCCTAGGGACACTTCTTCCCCTTGGATCAGGAAGTCCAGCTCCCTACCTCTGAACAGAAATAAAATCCACTTAGAAAGGTCAGCCTGTTTCCCACAAATCCTAAGACACCTTCGAGCTCAGTGGAAATGGTTTTGGAGGATTATCCCGAGCCTTGGTCTTCCCAGTCTCTGATGGGGGTGGGGTGGGGGGGTGCCGCCAAGTGCAAGTGTTTGCTTTTCTCCTCTCCAGGGGCTGCTGCAACTAACCCCACCCTACCCCCATAACTTCCCCAACATGTTACTCTCTAACCACAGGGGAGTCTGAGGAAAACTGGGGCTACAAGCAAGTCTTAGAGGGGGGTACATTAGGACTGCTGTTTGTTCTCCAGGGACTCCTTCTGGAGCCTCCCCAGGAGTGTTACTCGAAGGGGTAAAAGTGGGGGCACTTCCTGTCACCCCATTCAGCCCTATCCTCTCACCCCCGTCAGTGGGGGCAGTAGAGAGAGCTAAGTGCATGGGCTCTGGGGTCTTCCCCAGGGAAATGAGCAGGCCCAAGTCTCCCTTCCTTACAGAGCCTTCTGGCTGCTTCCCTGGCCTTCTCATTTGAAAATATTTACCTCTGGTCTCCATTTCAACCCACCTTGGGGATCCCTAACCCATCTTCCTGGCTCCCCAGCTCTGGCAAGGTGAGCACTTACTAGTCCTCGCGTGGCTTGTGGTCTCTGGACAGCACGTGGCACGGTGGCCCCCCTCTTTCTGAGTCCTGCACACCCAGTTCTACTGTCCCCTCCCCCACACATCAGCCCCCGCAAATGGCTGCTTCTACCTCCTCTCAAGGCCTTTCCTCCAATACCTCTTCCTTGTGCATACTGCCTGCCTGTCTGTGTCTTTCCCCTGCTCTCCATCCCTCCTGCCACTGGTCTGGTTCAGACCCTGTCATCTCTTCCTTGGCCCTTAGCACCAACTTCCTAACTGGTTTCCGGGCACCCAGTCAACCCCAGCCTTTTCTCCCCCTGCCAGAGGATTCTTTCTGAGCCTAATCCAGTTGAAAGAGCTTGAGGAACACTGCCCAACATCACCCTCTAGTCTTACCACCCCACCTGCAGTGCCCCTGCTCATCTTTGTGCTCACTGCGCTCTCTACCGTATCAAGGTGAGATGAGCTATAGGTGATAAAATATCCAAATATGTCCCTTACAGAGGTTACAAGTCTGTTGTCCTCTCATATAAAGTAAGTCTGGAGCTGAGCAATCTGGGACTGATAGGACAGCTGCAAAGTCATCTGTGATCCAGTCTTTTTTGCTGGTTGTTCTGCCAGTTCCAACCCAAGGCTTGCAGCTCATGGCTCAAAATGGCTTCTTGAGCTCCAGCCATTAAATCAGCATTCCAAAAAACAGGAAAAAGGAAAGGGTAAAGAGAGACACACACCCTCCTCACATTCAGGATATTTCTGGCATTTATTAATGATAAAGGGACTAATTCACCAGAATGATATATATTTCTACTCCAAATTTGCATGCCCTCCGTAAAATAGCTGCAAAATCCGTGAAGCAAAAGTAAGCAGAATTAAAGGTAGAATAGACAAATTCATGGTCATCATGGGAGTCTGTAAATATCTTTTTTCAAAAGAAAATGGAATAAGCAGACACAAGATCAGTAAGAATAGCGAAGATGTGAAAATAGCAATATTTGACTTCATTGACACAAAGAAGTCTGCACCCGACAGTCACAGGATTCATCATCTTTTCAAATACACAAGTAACATACAACAAGAAAAACGATGGCTCTAAGTAGTTGCAGGCGCCACTTCTGCCTAAATGCCACTTGCCAGTGGTTAGTCCAAGCAAGAGGGACACTGGGAAGTGACAGCTGCGCAAGTGACCAAATGCCTAATGATCACCAAGGGCTGCTGGTCCCAGGCAGAGGGGAGGGCAAGTCATTGAGAACCTGCTGCTTGACCTCCTCGCCGCTCCTTCCTTCCCGTGGCCACCCTGGCCCTGAGTGTGCACTGCACAGGCGTGAGTGCTTGGGCCCGGTCAGAGGCTCCTCAGTCTGTTCTGGCTTCATTGTTCACTTGCTGTGTGCCTTTGGACAGGTTTATTTAACCGTTTTAAGCCTCCATTTCTTTATTTTGAAAGATGGCAATAGTCTTCCTTCATAGGGCTGTGGGAAAGATGGAACAAGATAATGCAGACAAAGCCCTGAGGCCTGGGTGCGGCACCTAGTAAGACTAGCTGCACAGAGAGGTTAAGGGACTTGCCTGAGGTCACACAGCTGTAAGTGGGCAAGGCTGGCCTTTAGCTCTGGTTCCAAACTGGTCCTGACTTTCTTTGGGGCCTCTGCCATCCCCAGGCAGGGCCCCACGTAGTGAGACTCCCATCGGGGATGGAGGGCTGAGGCAAGGGTATAGGAAATTGCTTCCATCAATGAGCCTTGTGATTTCAGATACGTCCTTTTAAAATGCTTGTCTTGGGCCTCCCCGGTGGCACTATGGGTTGAGTGCAGCAATGTGAAGCTGTTCGCACCCTCCGCAGCGCCGGTTCGATCCCTGGCCAGTCAGCGAGATGCCTACATGGCGCGGCAGACCTCTCCAGTTGTGCCCGCTGCGCCCCTCAGCAGTGTATTTCAGTCAGTCTGCCTGTTCTGTTCCCTGCTCTGTCTCTGGTGAATCCTCTCACCCCCCACACACCTCTGGCCTGTACCCCAGCTCTTGTATAAAAATAAATAAATCTTAAAAAAATAAACTTTAAAAAAATAAAAATAAAAAATAAAATGCATGTCTTAACTCAGACATGTTAGGGGGAGAAGAAGGGGGCAAGAACAGGGTAGGGAGAGATCAGTGGCCTCTAGTGGCGGACGTTGGGCACCTTGGTGGTAGGACAGCCAATGGAGCCACAATAAAAAAATCACTGAAAGAAAAAGTTCATAACCATACCTTGGAATACTAAAATAAATGTGTGTCTTTGCTCAGGCATGTTAATATCCTCATTCTTTTTGCAAAAGTTTGAATTAAATGGGTCCAGAGATTTCCCTTGACGCTGACATTCGGCAGATGTGTCTGATCTGGCACACGTGGCTGAAATCTTACCAGTAAATATTAGTTTCTTTTTGTTAACTCTCATCTTCTGCCTGAACTCCATTTCTGAAAATACGGTTTTCTTTTAGAGGATCTGACCCCAGTTTGCAGGCTGAGTCCCCTGGGCCCTGGCTGGGAGGGGAGAGGCAGGAGAAAGGAGAGGAGAAGCTAGGCCCCAAGCTCTGCCAGTCACCAGAGGCCCAGGGGGTCCCGAGGGACCGCTTGTCAGGGCCCCCCCAGATTGCCTGTGTAATCAGTCCCCTCCAGTCGCCTGGCTGACACCATCTATCACCGTTTTTTATAGGCTTCCCTTTTTTTCTCTTCTGTATTTTTTCCCACCACTCTGCCTCTCAGACTAAACCAGAGAAAAATGGGTTTTGTCTTTTTTTAACAGGAAGACTAAAAGTCTTAAATTGCCTTCTTCGAGGTCTGCAAATAGAAATTCCAAATAAGACAGCCACCTTGTCTTCCCTCTCCTCCCGGCTCCCTGTCTCAGGAGCCCAGAAGCTTGAAATAAAAGGCAGCGCAGTGACTCTGAGGCAGCAATTTGAGCTGGGCCGGGCCCAGGTGTGGAGGAGCAGGGCAAGGGCAGGAGAGCCCGGCTGCAGGGTGGGAGGGAGGGAGGGAGGAAGAGATGAAATGGGCAAAACCCATGCCTCATTGCTTATGGTTCTGGAATAAAAGAGGGTGCCTAAGGGGGCTGGTTATTTAGCAGTCGCTATGTGTGCATGTCCATGTGTGTCTCTATGTGTGTATCTGTGTGTGTGTGTGTGTGTGTGTCCGTGCACGTGCACATGTGCACAGGGGCCTCAAGAAGAAGAGGAAGCCACCAAGGCTGCTGTGGTCCACTGCCCCTTGTCTACTCCTCTGATGTCACAGTTCCCGAGAGGCATCGGGGCATCGGGACAAGGAGAGGGAGTGGGACAAAGACAGAATTTTCAGGAAGGAGGCTGGGCTTTAATCCTGCTACATGTCATTATAATAACTAACGTTTACCGAACTTACTGGTTGCCAAGGACTGTGCTAAATGCCTCGTATAGGTCATCCTTTCCAACCCTCAAAACAACCCAGTGATGTAGATTTCATTATCGTCACCATTTAAACCTGGAGGAGTGGAAGGTTGTGTAACTTGCCCAAGTCTCACACTTCTTGGAACAGATCCGGGTTTGACCCCAGGGAGCCAGATTCCTGAGGCTCATGTGCTAATTTCTCCCCACCAACCACTAGTCCAGTCAATCTGCTTCCTTGTTTGGAAAGTCAAAGTGTGAGGGGACAGGTAGTGTGAACTGGGTGATCATCGAGGTCCTTTGCAGCACAGATGCTCTGATTGGGGGCTCATGTTTCACCTATGCACACAGGGGTCCTGTTAAGATGACGCAGATTGCAAGATTTGAAGGCAAAGGTGGGAGAGGGGAGGACAGATAAACTTGTATCCTTCACCCCTGATGGGACAGGAGGAGAAAATAACAACACAGCAAGGCCAGTGCAAGGTCTCTACAAAGACTTGTACGTTAGACCTGTATCAAAAGGACAAAATCAAAATCCAAAGGCCTAGAAAATTCTGCCCAGTTACCTGGATGGTATACACCCAGGTGGTACCCTTTGCATTTCCCTGGTCTTTGCTCCAGGTGGTGCACCTGCAGCCTCAGACCCACCTAGCCAGACACAGCCAGCAAGCCCTTTGAAGGACAGTTGGCCAGAGGCTCTGACTCGGGGAAGGACAGAGTGTTTCTCTGAGGACCCCGGGCTCAACACCTGTGTCTTTTTTGCAGGCCCAGCAATCATGGCCCATTACAAGGCTGAGCAGGATGACTGGCTGATCGTCTACCTGAAGTATTTACTCTTTGTCTTTAACTTCTTCTTCTGGGTAAGTGAATTCTGCCCACGACCACTTCCCCAGTTTCGAATGAGTCAAGTCGCCTTTGTTTTTGGCTTGTCACCACACTCTGGAGTTGATTTCTTCCAAATCAAAGACCACCCATGGGCAAATTCTGCCTACTTTAAAGCAAGCATGTACATTTGCTACTGAGGGGGACGGAAAGAATCCAGTCTGCAGGTTGGCTTGGAGTCTTAGCCAAGGCCTGGGAATAAAAGATGCATAAACATAACAGTGCACTTTGTGTTCCAGTGGTGGTACAAAAGGCTGGCTCTTTCTCCCCTGCTAAGTTGTCGCACCACTGCTTTGTGGGAAATGTGACTGCCTGAAATAATTGCTTGTTTTCCACTGAAGTCCATGTGCCTTTCATGGTTAATATTGTCCAGGCCTAGGCAGAGAAGTAGTCCTGGGTGTCCAGGCTCCCCCAGCTGCATGAAATTCTCTATAGACACTCCCTCAGGCTGCCCACCTGGGTGGGTGAGGTCTTCTTGGAGGAATGGAGTCTGTTCCCTCAAGGCAATTATCTGAGTAATTGGAAGCAGAACACCATCAGTTCCTCCCAAATAGCCAGACAGTGGAATGCATGTGTTTTGTGTTAGAGTCTCGTTAAATTTGCAGAAACAGAAGAGCAAAGAGGGCACAGGCTTTGCAGTCAGTGAGGCCCAGGCGCTGCTGTTTGCTGAGACAATGGCCATGAGCCACCTGTCCTGGCTGAGTGGTTTCCCCAGCTCCAGAACAGGATCGTTTTCAGCCTCTTAGGGTTGTTTAGCAGATGCCCTGAAATGGTCCACGTTAAGTGCTTAGGTCAGTCTCTGCATAGAGAAGGCATTCAATAAGTACAATCTTTCAGACTTTATTTTCCTGAGCAAGAGTTTCCTAGAACAGTGAAGTATGTTGATGAAGACAGTGAAATAATAAAGCTACGTTCATATGGACACTAAGGGTGTGGATGGATAGTTTCAATTCTCAGGGATAAATTCAATAGGGTGTTTAAGATTCCTACTGAGTGGAGATTTCTTTTCAAGAATAGTTGTGTGTTTTTCCCAATCATAAAAGTCTTATAATCTACTACAGATAATCTCTAAAATAATGAAAAGATACAAAATGAAAATTGCCCATATCTCATTGTATAATTTGCTGGGGATGCCATCACAAAGTACCATAAACCAAGTGACTGTAATGACAGAAATGTATCCTCTCAAGGCTCTGGAGGCTACAAGTCCAAAACCAGGGTATCAACAGGCTGTATGGGTAGAATCTTCCCTTGCCTCATGCCAGCTTCTAGTGGTGGCTGGCAATCTTCAGCATTCCTAGGCTGACAGCTGAATTGTCCTCTTGACTGCCTCTGTCCTCATGTGCTTCCAGTGAGTCTCTGTCTTCATCTGGCATTTTCTTATAAAAAACCCCATTCATTCTGGATTAGGGCCCGCCCAACTGACCTCATCTTCCTTGATTACATCTGCAAAGATCCTGTTTTCGGATAAGAGAACATTAGCAGGTATTGGGCTTAGGACTTCAACAAAACCTTTTATTTTAAAGATTTATTTATTTATGCATACAAGAGCTGGGGTACAGGCCAGAGGTGTGGGAGGGTGAGAGAATTCACCAGAGACAGAGTGGGGAACAGAACAGGCAGATTGACTGAAGTACACTGCTGAGGGGAGCAGGAGGCAAGACAGGAGAGGTCTGCTGCGCCATGTGGATTATTCTCTGGCCGACCGGGGATCAAACTTGTGCTGCAGAGGCTGTGAATTGCTTCATAGTGCGGTGCTTAACCCCTTGCGCCACTAGGGAGGCCCATTCAACAAAACTTTTTTTTTTTTTAAAGATTTATTTATTTATTTATACATGCACTGGCTACAGTCAGAAGCGCGGGAGGGTAAGTGAATTCACCAGAGCCAGAGCGGGGAGCAGAGCAGGCAGAAGGACTGAAGTACACTGCTGAGGGGAGCAGCGGGTGGCAGGAGAGGTCTGCGCGCCATGTGGGACCCTCCTCCGGTGGCCGGGGAGCAGCCGGGGATCGAACCGGCGCTGCAGAGGCTGCGGGCAGCTTCGCAACCCAGCGCTCAACCGCTGCGCCACCGGGGAGGCCCCCAACAAAACTTTTTGAAACACAGTTCAACCCATAGTGTTCACCATCTTAGGAACCATCACTGTTAACATCCCTCTAGACTTTGTCTTGATCAGGGTGAGAGATGGTGTGACCCACACATGGGAGTGAGCATGGGAGTAGATACTTGGAGAGAGTCAAAATTAATCAGACTAGGTCACGAATTGGACGGGGTTGAGATGGAAGGGGTATCTGGAGCATGTACTCCTGGGTAGGTGGTGGAGCTCTTCACTGCAATAGGAGACAAGAGAGATGAGCACTTGGGGCTCCGGTGGCAAGGTCAGATGTAGACAGGGGGGTATGTTTGAGCAGAGATGCCTCGTGGGCAGTTAATTCAAGGGTCTACATTTCAGATGGGGCTCGTCCCCACCCAGAGGGAGTTTGCAGTCAAGGAAATAGATGGAATGCTCAAGAAAGGCATGGAGAATGAAGAAAGAGAGACCAGAACTAGACAAGGGGTTTCCCCACAAGTGAGGGGTAAACTAGGGTCAACAATGGCCCCAGGTTGCGATGAACCACAGGAGCTCCTGCGATGGGGGATTTCTGGTGCTAAAACATGGAGAGCCCCCAGCAAGCTGCAACTATTAACACAAAACCAAGGAGTACACAGGGACCAAAACTCTAAAAGGGGGCAACCATCCACCACACAAAGACAAAGGAAACAGACGCTTAGTGGAAAGATCTTCGATCAAATTACTGTGACTAGAGAGAGAAGAAAGGACATTCCTTATAATAGTTTCCCAATAAGACCCTCCCAAATTATCCACCCCATCGTGGGCAAATGCCCAGCCCGAAAACTTGCCACAAGTCTAAGATACCTTCTGGCAAGGAACTCCAAAAAATGGGCTAGGCAGGTCACACAGCTGGGACAGAAGGAGAGACCCAACATTTAAAAATCAAAGTACAAGTCAAGATGATGGTTGTCATTATCCCTGCTAAGGGCCAGAAACAGCCCCCCACATGTCTCTTCCCCATGTATCTCTGCTCAATACCTCTTACAGGTGTCTCTGCATGTCTCTCCTTCATGTGTCTCCTCTAAGGCCCTAAGTGCAAGTCGAAGCTGGAGCTGCAAGAGAGCCAGGCCCTCTGCCTTTCCGCATTATGTAGGTTATCTGGCTGCTCAGCTCCACCCCTACTTCCTAGTAACTCCCCACTTAGGCAGGCTAGTTCTTGGCACACTGGCCCTCGTAATCCAAGGGAGCAGCATCTAAGTGGGGGTGGGGAAAATGACGCCTCCCCTTCACAGAGGTGCATCTGCAACAGAAGGGGGATCATCTTAAGGGGTAGAAAAGGAGCAGTCAGAGAAGTGGGAGGAAACCAGGAGAAGCAGTGCCATAGAAGCGGACACCAAGGACTGCATTCAAGGGTCAGGGCACTTGGAGCCTGCCAAGGCCTGGAAAATGGCCATTGGGTTTAGCCACACAAGGGTCATTGATGCAGTGAGGGCACTGCGGGGTGAAGAAGTGAGCACTCAGAGTGGCAACTCCCTGGGTCCAAAGAAAAGTCAGTGGAGCTAACGAGCCATTGGTATACTGACATGTCACCCCATTGGGGTATAAGGCCTCTGATGTTTCTCATCCTTCCTGGGCCAGCTCCTGTAGGGGGAAGCAGGCAGCAGATGTGGTGACCACCTCGGGGGCCCTTCCATACAAAGTAGACTTGGGGTCTGTCTGTTTGGTACAGACTTTCCTTTGGGCGCAGCGGGGAGAAGGCCCGTGGGGGCAGTGCAGGCAGATGGGCAGCAAGCGTGTTACCAGAGCAGCTACCAGCAAGGGGGAGCTCCCCCATATACATCTCCCTGCCTCAAGTTAAAAATAGCCCTGCCTGGGGACCTGGCTGGAAGAGGACCAGCTTCCCAGGGGCCATTCAGCCAGGCTTATTCTCCCCCTTACAAGACCTGTTGATCTGGGTTTGAAGGTTCAGGTTTCATTCTACAATCCAGGGGGTCCTGTCATCCTACCCCCAAGATCTATGGCCATCTCCTCAGAAGTAGGTATGGAGCCAACTACTGGCCCATCTCCTCCCACAGTGGAGCACAACATCACAAATTTTGCAGTATACCAAGTCCCTGAGAATTTACCAGAATTTCCCAGGGAGAGGGTGATGTCCATGAGGATCCCTCCCTGGCAAGAAAAACTTCCCTCCCACATGCACCTGCCCCCCGGAGTCCAGATGCCAGCCCTTCCCCAAGCCCCTCTCATCAGAGATGGAGCGGGGCCAGCGTCTACACTGGTGGGTGCTCCCCAGACCCGTTTGGTTCTGGCTTCCTTCGAGAACCATGGGGCACAGCCACAGGCAGGGTCCTTAGACAGTGCCAGTCTGCTGTCCCTGCCGCCTCTCCACCACCACCCCACTGCCCGGACAGAAAGGGAGTCCAGCCAGCGAGGCCGACTGCCTGAGCTTGTCTGATTGGGGTGAATGGTCACACTTCCTTGCTCCCCCAGAACTGTGTTCCAGCCCCATAGATCACTTCACCAGGCTCCACTGAAATCCAGCACCAAAGGGACAAGGAAACCAGGATCTTCTCTGCAGTGGTCAGGATGCCTGAAATTGGTGCCACCCACCTGGATAAAGACCACCGTGGTCTTTATCTGGGGGTCCTCAGATCAGCCTTGCCGGTCTCCCCTCATTCTCCACGTGGGGAAAAGGCAGGCTCGCCGAGTTCAGAATCGTGCCCAGGTCTCATCCCAGGGATGAGCCACGCTGGCGCAGACGCCAGGCGTTCCAGTCAATAACGGTGACAAGTGAAAAAGCCTTTCCCCTGTGTTTATTAAGCACCTAGAGAAAGCACCAGGCTTTCCTGCGTGGCCATCCAGGAAATGCTTTTCTTCCCCTCCCATCCCAGCACGGCTCCCCTCCCCTCCCATCACCCCGCAATGTT